CGGGACAGAATCCAGCACCCCGACCAGGATTAGAACCTGGTATGCTGGTGCCGCAAGGCGGAAGATTAGCCTAGTGAGCCGCGGCACCGGCCATAAATAAATCTTAAAAAAAAGATCAGATGGGTAAATGGCACATGAGCCTTAATGTGTATGAGAGGCAAAAGAATAATGACAGAGAGCCTGACAGTGGGTCCTAGGGGTGACCTGTGGCCCAAGGCAGAGTTGGAGGGTGGAGGGGGTGTGGAACCCAGGTGCTGAATAGGGATCGTGAGTACAGGGAGACAAAATGGTATTAGGCTGTGAGATAGGCAGGGAGGGTGGTGGAGATGGTAGTAACAGGAGCAGAATCTATGGCTCAACCAACCCCAGCCATCGCTGTCTTGCACACTTAGTCATCTCTCCTCCTTTTTGTCCTCTCCCTTCTCTCCCAATTCATTAAAACACATGCAGTAACCTGCACCCAGATCCCCCTCTGCCCAGCTGCCCTCTGGGCAGCACCAAGGCCCTAGGACTGGGCATCAAGAACCACTGTGCAAGCTGGCAATGCACCGGTTGCCCAAAGAGCCCAGCTCCCTCATGGGCCCTTGCAGAATGTCCTCAGAGACCTGCCTTGTGCTGCTGGCCCTACAACCTTTATCTCCGGAGTCCAGTTTTTCCTGAGTCTTCACTGTAGTTGTTCCCTCTATTCTGAGTCTTGTTGCCAAGTGTGCTCAGTGCAGGTCCTCGCTAATGTGCTCAGTTAGGAATTTCCTCCCCTCAGTCTCCATCCCCAGCTCCATCTTCCTCCTTCAGAAGAGCTCAGAGGATGACAGAGATCAGGGTGGCTGCTCCTCCTGCTCCTGGGGAATCACAGTTTCTTGACACTCAGACACAGTAATAAATAAAGGGCATGAAAGGACTTAAAATTTCATGAATGAGATTTTCAATAAAATGTTTTCTCCATTCCAACCTGTATTCTTTGTAGGTTTCTGGGGATCTTCCCATGTTAAGAACAAGTAAAACCCAATGGTCACACGTAAATGAATGATCAAATATATTGCAGAACTAGAATTCTGCCTTTTTAAAAAAAAGTATGTTCACCCTTCCCCATCTACATATAAGTGGGACTCATCACACCCAATCCAGGGCTTAACCACAATGAACTCACATAATTTATGTGAGTTGCAAACACAGATCCATGCCTATAGGATTGCCTCTAGTATATGGGAGCACAGGTACAAACTCAATTAGAGCAACTTTTTGGATGTTGGTATGGTGGTACAGTGGGTTAAACCGATGCCCATTGATGCCAAGATCCTACCTTGGAGCAGTAGTTTCAGTTTTGGCTGCTCTGCTTCTGATCCATGTCCCTGCTAATTCATCTGAGAGAGCAGAATATGGCCCAAGTGCTGCATCCCTACCACACACATGGGAGACCTGGATGGAGTTCCAGGATCTGGGCTTTGGCCTAGCTCAGCCCAGTCTGAGATCCATGAGCTATATTTAATCGGTTCTTATTCTTTTCTTTCTTTTTTTTTGACAGGCAGAGTGGACAGTGAGAAAGAGAGACAGAAATGTCTTCCTTTTCCATTGGTTCACCCCCCAATGGCCACTACAGCCAGTGCGCTGCGGCTGGCACACCACGCTGATCCAAAGCCAGGAGCCTGGTGCTTCTCCTGGTCTCCCATGTGGGTGCAGGGTCCAAGGACTTGGGACATCCTCCGTTGTACTCCTGGGCTACAGCAGAGAGCTGGAAAGGAAGGGAAGCAACTGGGACAGAATCCGGCACCCCGACCTGGGCTAGAACTAAGTGTGCCAGAGCCGCAGGTGGAGGATTAGCCTATTGAGCTGAGACACCAGCCAAATCTGTTCTTTTTATGTTAATTTTTAAAACACAAATTAAAAAATAAATTTTAAAATTTAACCCTAATAATAATTCTGCAATTATTTTCTTCAGTGAAGCCAACTTAACACAAACTCATTTGAGTGAGGAGATGTGCTGTGTGACAGCTGATTGAAGGGGGGTGCATTTGCACTTAGAATAGACAGTGGCACAAGGCCATTTTGAATCCTTTCCCATATGGAGGTGGCAGCAAGGTTACACTGTCCTCTGGGCAAGGGTGTGGAGAATTCAGGTGTGCAGATGGAGTGAGCTGGAGGCCAGCAACTACCATGGGAAGATTTTTCATTCATCTCTCCCCTCTAAGTCTGCGCCTCCCTTTTCTTGCACTGTCTAGCATATGGGGAGAGCCAGGTCCTAAGCTTCACGTTCTTGCTGCCCATGCAGGCACCCATGGGAAGCCCCATAGACCTGGGCACTTTCAGTCTGTTCTTCACCTATCACCTCCTCTTCCACTGAACCACAGAAGAAAGGAGAAAAGATCACTTGTGTCCAAGAGAGCTATAAAAGTCAGTTCTTCTCCTTCTGAAAACCCCATGAATCTTTAATGCTGCTGAAGTCTGAGAAGAGAGGGAAGTGACCAGGGAACACAGAGTACAACTCTGTGCTAGGAAGGATGGCACAAGCGAGGCCCATTTGGTTAGTGTCCAGCAGGTTGCTGGCTGCTTTCAACTCAATCAAAGAATGGTGCCACATTTTCAGATCTCTCAAGGTCTCAGCTTGTGAACATTCTGCTCCAGGAAGAGAATGAACACCAAGCAAAGCATTTTCAGGTTGCTTATTTCAATCCTATTTCTCATATCTTATGAACTGGAGTAAAAGGTAAAATTATTCCTCTTTGTCCCCCACATGGTTAACAAATTTACTGCATGTGCCATGGAATATTCTCTCATTCTCTAACCCATCCCATGAAGGGCCCTTGTACTTCCCATGTGAAGAACAAGGTGTTGATAGATTACTACTAAAGTGTCATGATGTTGTCCAGAAAGTTAAATGTATTAGGTAGCTGCACTGTGACTAACTCTGAGAAGTATCCTATATTTTCCAGCTTACAAACTAGTAGCTGCTAAAGATAGAACTGTCAAAGTGAAAATTGTGAAATGCATGCAGGTGAGGGTTTTTCAAAAGCTTTGTGGAAAATGCATATAGCAACAACCATCCTTGGCCTCAAAAATGTCTTGCACCAAAATAAACTTATCAGTTAATTTCATTTTCCCAAGAACCTTTTTGAAGTGCCCTTATTTTAATAGTTAAAATATGTTGACAAAAAGCAAAAAAAATTCCATGAACTTTTCATCAGCTGATTAGGCAACATCTTATGAAAATAAGGAAAATATTGACTGTTAAAAAAGAACTAGAATAAATTAAATAGAGAAAGTAAGAAAATTGTTTATTCTAGCAGGGCTCCCACAAACCAGATACTGGGAGCAGGCTGGCAGCCTCTTCCAGATACAGGAGCTGTATGACCATTGGCCATAAGGGGCTCCTTCCAAAGACCTGTCTCAGAGTCTGTGTGAATCAGCCCCCTTTCTTATGCCTGTATTCAGCCTAGGTCAGGTAATAGGAGTTTCTGTCCTAAAAGGAGTTGGATCTGAGCATGCAGGGAAACCTTTGCTTTATTAAGTGAATGAGAGCTGTATGTGTGCTGGAGTGGCCTTGTCTGCTGGGCTTCCCTGGGCCAGCACTGGGAACCCCCAGGCTGGGTTGTGTCCTACAGTTGAGGGACAGATTCCAGGGGTCCTTTAGCTGTCATTGTCCTTACAGCCAGGGTTTGTCTCCTGCAGCGTCCTACAGATGGGGGCATGCACATCAGAGTAAGTAGACAGTGGGATTAACACAGCTGGTGTTATTCTTAGGGGCACTGCTTTGTAAATCTGACTTTGTATTTTTCCAATATTAATGATTTACAGCATACAGATGTAATTTGACTTCATATGTTTATATGTATGCTTACATAGACACTTAGAAACACAAAAATATTTGTCAGTGCACTTGGAAATAAGCACCAGGTGGGGGCAGGGAAGGAGACTGGCTCCCAGTGCCTGCTTCCTCCTGAGTTCAAGGCTAAAGGAAAGCCCATCATAAACTTATTTCCTCACCTGAGAGACAGGGGCGTGCACATCAAAGCTGTTTCTTGCCCACACACCCAACTGGCCTCTTTACTTAAAGATACAGAAGCTGGCCCAGCAGATCTCACCTCCATTCTGGGATATTTGGACACTCTGTTCTGTCCCTTAGTGTCATTCATAAACAGCAGAACATGCTTCATGCTACCCTGTGCCCCACTGCAGGTCACACCAGCCATTTGTACATGAAAATGATTGAAGTAACCATTCTCCTTCATAACATCTGAGTTCAGAGGACACATCTCCTACATGCACAGAACTGCAGGATCCTCAAGGCTTCCACTCTGGGAAACTTCACTTTCTCTCCACTAACGTCCATGCTGATCATTGTTCTATGGAGAATTTCTTCATTTTTCTGCATTCTGATGCCCACTAAAGTGTTGCCCCTGATTTACAGACCTTTTGTCACATTCCCATAACTGTTCACTTCTGAAAAATTCAGTGTGTCAGATTCAGGTGACACCTACAACTTCTTAGCAATTTCTACATTTCTTGATGGAGGCAGGAACACTAATAACACAATTTGGGAATTGAAATGATAATTATATTAATTTATTTATAATTACTAATACTTTTATTCTTTATTTAGTGCAACAATTAAGTCAGTCTTGTTTACCAGACTCTGCTCCTGGGACTGTTTCAAGTTTCAATGTTTAAAAATTCAGAGGGGTTCAAGAGTAAAGAACTCACATTGTGTTTGGCAGGCATTTGACCTAGCAGTTAAATGGCCACTGAAGACGAACATATCCAAAATCGCATTACCTGGGTTTGATACCCAGCCCTGACCAGAACTCAGTTACTTGCTAAGGAAGACACTAGGAGATGGTGTTGATGGCACAAGTAATTGAGTTCCCGGCTCTGGCTTTGACCTTGATCCAGACTCAAGATAAATGTTTGGGGAGTGAATCACAGTATGGTGAGCTCTGTGTCACACAAGTAAATAAATGAACGGATGAATTTTAAAAGCATCAGAGAACTAACCATTGTGAATACACCTAAAATGTAGGGGATTCTGTATTTCTCGTGTGGGCACAGCAGAGCCTGGGCACTCTGGAGTCATGGCTCATGAGAACATAGGGGCTCACAGCAGGGAAACTCCCAGCAACTAGTGCAGAGGTGTTCACCAGCCACACACTGGGATTATTTAAAACAGTCAAGCAGCTGTGGAAGATGGAGGAGAGAGTGCTCAAAGACACAAAGGTGCTCACCAGGACGAGGATGCTGTGTGTGGCTCTGGACTCTGGGGAGGACCTGGATGTGATGTTGGTCCTATGGATGTATTGTACCTGCTGCTTGTGCCTGTACAGGGTGAAAATCATGAAACTGCTGGCCCACAGCATGAAGCCCACAAAGAGAATATTTCGGAAAAATATCAGAGCTACATACAGGGACTCTGTGAATTTGCCAGGATTCACAGAATGACAGTAGCCATAATCTGTTTTCTTTGTAGTATTATTGTCATTACTTTTCCCAGTCACATAGACAGGCACCATAGCATTTAGTATCAGATTCAGCATCCAGCAGAGGATATTGCAGGACCCAATGTACTTGGGAGCTTTTGCTTTAAGCTCTGCCCATCTGGGGTTCCTGGGACTGATGGTGATGGCCTGGGAGATACTCAACATGCAGGTGGTGCCAGTGGACACATCCGTGCTCACTCTATGCACATAGAACACAAGCTTGCACCCCGTATCACTGAGGAAATGCTTCATCCCCAAAGCTGCCATGGTTTGGGGGACTCCTTTTGAGAGAATGACTAAGCAGTTGGCTACAGTCAGGTGTTTGATGATCAAATCTGTGGGCCTAAACTTGCATCCTGTGAAGTAGAGGTAGAGATAATGGGAAAGAAGAGAGAAATTCCCCAGGGTTCCAGAGACAGTTTGAAATAAGAAGATCATCCCTGTTATCAAATCTCTGGTGATCATGCCATCTCCTCCCAGTGTCTGTTTATTGTTTCTGGGCCGGAGATTCCTGTATGGGAACATGATACGCAAACCATGTGCATTAATGTCAGTTGAAATTCAGCATTCTATACTCTTATTCTCTACTTACACCAGTTCACCCTTAGAAATGACTGCTTAACATTTTTCTTTATTGAAGATGTTTCCAAATACTTGGATATATAATCTTTAAGGGTACTTACACAACACTAACTACAGACATGAAGAGACACATGTATTAATTCCAGTATTTTTAATGACTCCTTGAGAAGGCAGCAGGATTCATTTCATTGGAAATAAAATGATCATGCAAGCAGCTTCTGGTTAGTTATTTGTCTAAATTTAAACTTTTTTGTGTGCAGTGAAATATTGAACCTGGCTGGGCTTGTTCTAAAGTACTGAAATTAAACATCATATTATTCTAACAGAGCTACTTAGCTCTGTTCTTCAAATGACACATAAGTATACCTAACTAATTTCATGTATTATCAATCTATCTTAGACTGCTGGTAATTCATTTTCATAGTTTGTATGTATTACTTTACCTTGATACATAAAGATTTATTCCATAAGATAACATCAATAATGGTTATACATTTAGGTATCTTACCCAGATACATATAACCTGATTATAGTATCATTTTCTCAACCCTTTCTCTTTGAAAACTGTACTTAAACTAGACCAAGTTGTCTGTACTGGGGAAGACAATAGAAACGTCAGTTGGCTTTTGTACCAAGAAAAATGGCATGAAGTACTGAAAATTGGCTGTGGTCTGTACAAAGTGACATTAATACCAGTCTGGTGAAGTCAAGTATGGTAGAAATGAAATATTTCCATGTTCATGTAATATAATTATGTCTTTACTAATAGTTAAGTAAAAGCATTTTCCCATAAGTCAAGATTTTTGAAATATATTGAGTGCAAGCCTTGCATAGCAGGTGGAATCTCTGTTGTCAGATCTTATTTATTTTATCACATGACAATGTGGAGCTTGCAGTTAAGATGAAAATATTTTCAGTCCAGAACAAAAGTGAAAAAATACATCTGAAACTCATTACTACAGGATAACACTGCTTTCTTCTTAAATAGGCTTCCCGTACTTAAACAAGGAACATAATCTTACTGTAATCATGGAGATTTTCAATGGGAAATAATCATTTTCTCCATTGAGAAATTAATACAATAGGGTTGGAGAAAACCTTGCTATTCCAGAAGTTGACACTGGCAGCCACTCTTGCATCCCAGGATTATAAGATTCTGAGGTTTGTCTCTGTCTACATTATAAGCATGTGGGGTTCCACAGCAGCCTCTCTGCTAATTCTGAAACTAGATTCATGAGTCCTGTGCAGAAAATTGAACAGAAACTTATTTTGGACCTACAGTCCTTAAATACATTAAACACCAGATGGCATGATTATTTTCATTAAGCTATAAGAATCAGTATCATTATGCATGACACCAAAGTACATCAAGATCCACTAGGGATTTGAGTAGGGTGGAGGACCCCCATGTTCCTGTGCTAGCTCAGCACACATCTCAGAATCCTTCCTCCTCCCTGTATGCTGGGACACAGGACCAGGAGCAAACATGGGAGAATCCCCTTTTCCCGCTTGATCACTCACCCAGACTTCTGATATGCCTCTCACTTGAAAACTCTCTCCTTTGTACTGATGTAGAAAACCCCCAATTTCTCTCAGCTGCCAAGGCAAACCTCAGCACAAAGATCACCCCAGTCAGCACTGGATGGGCTGGAGGCAGCTGGAGCACTATAAGTGGTGTGGCCTGTGACCTCACCTCCCTGCAGAGTTGCAGTCGTCTTTGCACCTGCAGCTGCAGTGTATGTCAAGTTGGAGTACTGAGAATTTTGTGAACTCTTTTCCTCTTGCTAATTATGAAAACCAATTACAACCTATAATTACTATCAAAAAAGAGGCTGTTAAAGTCTTTGAAAGTTACTCTGTCCTTCTCAGATCCCCAGAGCTGATAGGGTCTGACCTGGAGGGAGCAGGAGATCCTGAGTCTGGTATGGGAGGGAGGCAGTGAAGCTCCTGTGTCTCCATGGATTCACAGAAGGTTCTTTCTACCCCAGAGCAACTTCTTTGCTAAACTTCAGACCACTAAGCCCAGTATCATGTATATAATGAGCAGAACAATGGGGAGAATGCTCCTGAGAAAGGTTTTCAGAAACACAGGTGCAACGGTGAACATGATGATCATGGTTTACCTGAGAAACCACTGGATTTGTCTGACACAGGGAGTATGGGGGTTTTACAGCCAAACATCCTTTATCTGTGTACACCTTTCATTCTCATCTCCAGTAGATGTCAGAAGCTAGAGTATAATATCCATAGATAGTCACAAGTTTATGAGCTTTCAGGCATATTTTATATTTTCCCTGACTATCAGATAAGCCATGTTACCTCCTCTTGAATGGTTTGTAGTTAATGAGGAAATGTAAAATGTAGTTTAAAATGTATCCTTTTGTTTTCATAATAAAATATCCACTGCTTTTCCCAAATCCACTGTCTTATCCTTGCTAATTTCCAAGCGAGACTTCGGAGTCAGGATATTGGAGAGTGCACAGTGTGGTTATGCCCCTGTGCTCAGTGCTGGGCAGAGGTGCTGGGAGTCCTCGCTTGACTTTTCATGATTTCAGACATTTTTTAACCTGAAGTAGACATGTTAACAACTTCTTTATCGTGATATAACTTAAAAATTATACATGATTTATTAAGATAAGCCAATGTAGCCTTGCAGAATTTAAAATCTGTGTCATTGTTGCCTTTTCCTTATCATCAACTAATCTTACAGAATGTAAAAGTGATGATATTTTTGGATATTTTGACAATTAAAAACGTAGTGTTTATGGCATCATTCACTGGTTCCATAATGTTGTAGGCAGATTTATTTCCTCAGGTGTTACTCCCATTGAAACATTGCATTAGATAGCAAGAGGAACATTCCTGATGTAATTAAGGTGAAATTTTTTTTTTATAAAATACTTCACTGAGATATGCTGGACATGAAGGAAGCCTTTTCATTTCAATCTTTTAAAGTTTTCCAGTTGACACATACATAGAGAATGCTGTACGTCTGTACTGTCTACAACCTGATGAAGCTGGAGATGAATACCCATGTAAACATCACTGCAATCAATGCATTAAAAGTCTGTCACCCAGAAAGATCTCCTTCTACCATTTTTATTTGTGGTTAACATTGCTATTTGTGAAAAGGACATTTCACATAAGTTCTATGCTATTATTAATTAGTTCATTGTGTAATACCACCTTGTTAGCCATAGTTACTGTGTTGGATGACAGAATTCTAGGCCTTTTTCATCTTGCAAACTTGGACCATTTAATAATGTGATGAATCCCTCCATTTTCCCTCTCTCCCTCTCTCCACAGCCTCTGAAAACCACCATTGTACTCTCCACTTCCTTGAATTTACTATTCTAGATTCCTTACACAAGTGGGATCATGCAGTGATTGCCCATGTATGTCTAGCTTATTTCACTTTCACAATGTCCTTCATATTCATCCATGTTGTTGTGAATGCCAAGATTTCCCTCTCTTTAAAGTCTAAATAATAGACTGTGTTACATATCACAGTGTTTTTTCCAATCATGTAGCAGTATATATTTATGTAGCTCCCATGTCGTGGATATTGTGAGCATGCAGTAATGATGAGGAATGCAGATCCTCTCTTCAAGAACCTGACTCTGTTTCTTTGGCTGTGTATCCAGAAGTGGGATAACTGCATCATGATATAGTTCCACTTTCAGTTTTTGAGGAACTAGAGTACTGTTTTCCATAATGGCTTCACCCAGTTGGCATTCCCATGAAATATGTACAAAAATTGACTCTCCAGTGTTTCCCCAATACTTAGTGTTTAGTGTCCTCCCCGCTCCCTCCATCCCTGCTTTCCTCCCTTCCTTCCTTTCTTCCTTCCCCCTCCCCTCTCCTCCCTCCTTCCCTTCCCTTCCCTTCCATTCCTTTTTTGTTCTCCTTTTTTAGAACAGCAACTGCCCATGATCATATAAGGTGAAGTCTCAATTATGGTTTTGATTTCCATGCCCCTGATAATTGGAAATGTTGAGCTTCTTTTCATAAACCTGTTGATCATTCGGAGTGTCTTCTTGGAAAAATATCTATTCAGGTACTTTGCCCATTTTTAGATTCTTATTGTTTGTTATTTTACCACTGAGTTGTAGGCATTCTTGATTTGATTTGGACTTTGTATATTGACATATATAACATTTTCAAATATTTTCTCCTTTTCTCATAGTTTCTTTTACATTATAATCATTGTTTTCCTTTGTCATGCTGAAACTTCTTATTTTAATGCTATCTCGCTTATCTGTTTTGCATTTCTTTCCATTGGTTTTGGTGTCAGATTAAAAAAACCTCATTGCAAAGACCAATGTCAGAGAAATTTGTCTCTGTGTTTTCCTTTAGGATTTTATGAGGTTTTTTTTTTTTCAATCTGGTAGCTGAGTCCAGGTTCTTATCTCTGACACAGGAAGGAATTTGAGGATAACATGCAGGTAAAAGTCAAGAGAAAAGCAAGATTTGTTTGCTTAAAAAGTGACAAATCCACACTGAAGGAGACATCGGACATTCTCTAGAGTGAGGTGCATTCCATGGGGTTCAAGTGCATTGCTCTGTATGATCTGTATGGTAGGAAGTGCAGGTGGGGCTGCAGGAACCAGCCCATCACCTCAGCTTCTTCTCACCAGGTACCTCCCTCTCCTTTCCACATCAGTGTCAGATGTTGAATGTAAGTCCTTCATGTATGCTGAGCTGGTTTTGTTATAATGTGTTAAAGGTACAATGCATCATCTAACATGTGAATCTACTTTTCTCAGTACCACTTATTGAAGGGATTCTCCTACCTCAATGGTGCATGCTTGGTAGTCATTTTGAAAAAACTAATGGATCGGGGGCTGGCAATGTGATGCAGTATTCTAATTCTCCACCTGCAG